TTTTTTCAAAAATAAAACATCTATAAAAAGAAAAAATTAATCTTTTCATATTTTGTACTTCCAGCTAAACAATTATTAAATAATATATTAGATTTGGGGTATTGTAAATACAATAGCTGGAAATTGAAAATAAATACTATCAATTTTAATAAAAGATATTTTATTTTTGATAATTATTTTGGTGTCAAAATTTAAATGTATTACAGATTTCAAGATGTTTGAACCAATTTATTATTTCAAATTAAACTCTATTTTTACAATTATACACTTATATATTTATAAACATATTTTATTTAAAATTTTGTTTATTTAATACATTTACAATTAATTTATTCAGATTTATTTCAAATGACAAAAGAACCTCTTTGCTTCTTTAAAGAACTTAATGAAAAACCAAAGCGACATCCAGTATTGTGTATTGGAAAAATATGTTTCTTTCAACGTGCCAAATAAGACAAATCGAAAAATGATATTGTTTTTGAATGTGCTGGAAATAACTGTAATGTAACAGTACATGTAAAAGATAATGATTATTATTGTTGGAAATCATACTTGTATTTTTGATCACGAACATTTATTTTTGTCAAGATGTCGAAGAGAAGCCGCAGATAGAGTTTGTTAAAGGTCTAAATGATACTCCGCGTGAAATAACAAAAAGAATCATGACACACAATTTTTGTTCAAACATGTCAATATAAGACCATAGATCAATTAATAAATATATAACCAAACTAAAAAAACTTTTTGGAAGTAACCCCCAAACAATTGAAGATATCAATTTCACGGAAGTTTTGAAAACCACATTGATACCTCAAAATGAGTCTAATCCAGACAATACTTTTTATTTTATGATTCTTTCACTGAAACTCAATCACTCTCCAGATTTTTTATTTTTTCTTCTTGTACACGACGACACATCGCTTCCAAGTCAGTAGAAGTGTTTGGTGATGGAACATATCGAATTACTCCAAACATAATTACATGTTTGTATACGTTACACTATCTTATTGATAACACATGTTATCCAATTGCATTTCTATTACTTCCAAATGAGACAGAAGAAACATTTATTCGTGCTCTTAAAGTACTAAAGCCCTTTTTAATCAATGTTAAAATTGTACGCTGTGATTGTCAGATTTCAGCAATGAACACATTTAGTAAAGTATTGGGAGCAAACATTAAATTATGCTTGTTTCATTTAAATCAAGCGGTGTTTAGAATGTTGGGCAAAAAGGGGCTTTCTATAGAATATATAAAAAATGCCAAATTACATCTATGGGTACGGCGACTATTTGGACTATCTTTTCTACCAAAAGAAGAAATACACGATGCTTTCGATAAATTATTCATTGGAATGTCGGGTGATCGTTTCGACCCGCAACCGCAACTACAAATAGAACAGAAAATGTTATATTTTTGTTATCTACAAAAATGTGTTATATATAACAAAAAAACTACAAATATCAATTTTATAATTAATTTTAACAATTACAAAGACTTAATAATACATTTATATTTATTATTTAATTATTATTTAATTATAAGGTTTGTCAGTTAAATACCCTTTTTCAAATTAATATATAAAACAAACACAAATGGTAGAGATACCAAGCTTCAAAATTCGAGATTTAGGAGAAGGTTATTTTACACCAATTGAAGTTGAAAAAGGACTTGAATCAATTTGTAAGTTAATCAACAGAGACAATGCAACAAAGTTGATAAGAGAAAACTCTAGGTATCGAATTGAAGGACACGAGGTCTCCCTTTATGTATCGAGGGATAGTGGAAAACTCAGAAAAAAAATTTGTTTATAAGTGTGTAGAGTCAAAAAATGGTTGTGGTGCCTTTCTTGTTATACATTTTAATACTTGTGTATCAAATGTTGTTGAATCAATTGAATTGTGGACTCGTCACAACCATACATTCACTACACCTCCTCGGTCTCGGTGTGCAGTTAGAATGAGCGAAAAATCAAGAAAGATAGTTGAAGAAGATGCCAAAATGAACGTTCCGCTAAATATAACCAAGACAAAAATAGGGGTTAAATATTCTAAAGATGTCCTTTATGAGCATAGGCGTAAATTCTTAGGGATTTTGTCGAAAGATCAATGCAACGAATTAAAAGATTATACAAAGACGTTAACAACATTCGACACACAATTTGTTAACAACTCCTGTGGTGTATTTGATGAATGTTTCTTTTTTTAATAACAATATCGTGTAGATTTGTGTCAGAAAAACGTTTTTTTAGATGACACTTTCTGTACGAATAAATTCCAACTTCCAATTGAAGCTGCATTATGTAAAGATATCAATGGAAACTCACAGTTGATTGCGTTTGGATTCATGAGACATCGATTTACATCATACTATACTGACTTCTTGGGGTTTTTAAAAAGTCGTTTCTTTCCAATTAAGTGTTTTGTGACTGACAGAAGTATTGCACAAACAGCAGCTATCAAAGAAGTGTATCCAGATGTTGATCTTGTGTTTTGTCACAGACATATTAAACGCAATTTAATCTCTGCATTTGGAATAAACTCCAAAATTGTTTCAAACTTTGAACTGTTAATTAATGGAACTATAAAAAGCGAAGATTTTATTTCATTTGTACAAAACTACAATTGTGTTGATAGTATAGTGGAAAGTGGGGATACATGTGTCGATAAGAATGAGATATTTGCCGAATTCGTTGATTATTGTAACGGAGAACAACCAACTACAGCTTTTGAGTTAAAGTCCAACGATAAAAAACGTTTTTTGAAACAGTTGATTGACACTAAATTCAATTGGCTTCCGGAGTTTACAAAGAGACACACGAAAGACACGACTACAAATGTTGTAGAAGGTTTTTTCGGAACTATAAAACAACTTTCTGGTAGTAAAATAGTAAGGTTAGTGGAAGTTACAACTATATTTATAGAAAAAGCCAGAAAGTTGTTGTTCGATAGTGTCACTGGATTCAATGATGAAGACTTTAAAATACTCACCAAACTCATTGGAGTTGAAGCTGCCGCAGAAATACGTTGTGATTGGGGAAAAAAGTTACTTAATTATTATTCAATGTTGGACAAATTTGGACCTCTCGAAACAAGCAGTAAAGGAGTATGTACTTGTGCCGATTTTGTTCAACATGGAAGGTACTTTCCTTGTTTTCACCAAGTGTATTGCAATTTCTTTGACCCCAGAAGAAATTTAAGGAAATCGCTTTATTCAAAGGAGGATTTTGGGAAGGAAATATTTTTAGAAAAAACTAAAATAGCCAAACATGAGTTTTATCAAAGGACTATGAATAATTCATTTTTCAACTGGGAAAGAAGGGACCACATTGTGATATTCGATGAAATGGTCGACACGATTCTCAAAAATGCCACTCGAAAACAAAAGTGGTTCGAACTTGTCAGTTCGGTTTATCATTCGGAAATTACATCGGAAAATGTGTTAAAAGGGAATGAGGAGTTGCAGGAGTTCGAAGGTGAGTTTAGTTCAAAAGATCCGGTTGTACTTCTTTCTGCAAAGGTGAAACCAGCCAAATTGGTAGACTACGTCGAAAAACCTTTCTCCACCAAGGTCTCCAAGAAACGAACGGAATTTAAACCTCTTGGACCAACACTTCAAAAAATTGAATTGAAAGGTAATGTTTGCAAAATATGCCTTGGGAGAGGACATATGGCAAAGTGTTGTCCTTCTTGGAATAAAACAGAAAATTTCGATCGGTTAAATAAATTCATTCAGTCTTTAAAAGGAGATAAGCGTACAGAATTCGAATTAAAACATAAAAAAGTCGTTTGAATTTCAGTTGTAATTAGGATTTAATATGTACATAAAAATAATAGTTAAAATATAATATTAAACCATTAACAAATTATACCAAAAAATTGTTAATTTCAATTGAAGTAAATGTGTTGTTTATTGTGTATATATATATTAACAAGACAAAACAACGTTTTTATATTATAATTTAACATCATTATAATGTTTTGTAATATTTTGTGTTGTTTTATTAACACCAAATGTTTAAAAACCATAGATTGATGGTGTTTAAACACAAAATTTGAAAACTGATAAAAAAATGAATAGAATAATTGAAATTTATTGTTTTTTCTTTTTGTTATATATAACACATTTTTGTAGATAACAAAAAATATAACATTTTCTGTTCTATTTGTAGTTGCGGTTGCGGGTCGAAACGATCACCCTTATTATTAATAATATTAAATTAATTAATATTTAGATTAGCATCCCCCTATTTCAGTTAATTGTATCAAAATGTAAAAAAATTAAATTAAACTAGAAATAAACAATACTCAGTTAACGAACAAATTTAACTTAGACATTGAGCCAGACAACATGCTCGTATTTATCAATTAATTTTAATAACAAAATAATAGCAAAATTGACCGACTTGAGAAATGTGAATTTATTGACGACTTACATTGCATTAACTTGAAGAATTGGTACACCAACATACGTGGCGTCTAATGTGTTAGACAAAAAAAAGTACAAAACATGCAGATATCTCTTCTTTTGGTGTGATTTTATTCGAATGTGATATGTGGGAAAAACTCATTTTAAAGGAACAGTTTATGTTTGCAATGAATATCGTCAGAATTATTTGAAAAATAAAATGAGTTTGACACCTTTTTTATATCAAAAAAATTATAAAAAATAAACAAAAAAATGAAAATTTGAAAACCGTATTTTTTCACCAATCAATCCTCAATTTTCTTGGCACCCATTTAATACACTGTCTGTGATTGTTTAGTGGGTTTAAATGTTGGATACAATTATTTTTATTTTTTTTTCAATTGATAATAGAAACATCTGTAATTAAATTAACCAACATAATTTTTTAATATTTTTGATTTTGATTAGAATCGTAAGTTTAATAATAATAAAACTTGACGAAACAACTAAATATATTTTAATTATATTTATTTCAAAGAAAAATCAGAGGAAATAATTCTAAAACCAAATGTTGAATCAAAATAACCATTTTAATGTCTAAAAAAGTGATTGACGCATTTAACATGATGGTTGTCTCAAAATATTTTATTACAATTGCGGATTTCATTAATTTGGAATTGGTTTGTAAGAAGTTTACAGGAAATATGACACGTTTTCATTTCAATCCAATTTCCCTCACAACTTCCACTCGTCGCTTTTTCCCACATTTACAAACAATTTGTTTATACACACCCGATGATGAAATTTTTGATGATGATGAAGTCGAACAGCGCTCTGTGCAATACTATGTGAATTACACAACAACCAAAGCACAACGAAACACAAAAATACACTACCCATTTATTGAGTTTAACTCACATGACGCAAACACAAATGATGAAATTCCAGAAATAGTTGGTCGCATTTCAAACAATACTTTTTGTGATAAATATATATCATCCTGTGTGATCCCCAGTCGTGTGGTTACTATAGGAAACTCGGCCTTCTGTGGGTGTGGAAATTTGAGTTGTGTAACTTTCCCTTCACACCTTAAGGAAATTAACAATAAAGCGTTTTACCATTGCTTTAAACTTAAGAGTCTTGAACTTCCAATATGTGTCTCTTATATTGGTGAATTTGCCTTTGAGATGTGTACTTCATTAAGAGAAGTCACTCTTCCTTGTTACTTAGAAGTTGTTGAAGCTTGCTGTTTTTCAATTTGTGGCAGTCTCAGTAAAGTTGTATTTCCATCCGATTTAAAAAAAATTGAACACAACGCGTTTGAATCGTGCACACAACTTAAACACCTCAACTTTCCTGAAAGTGTCAATTTCATTGGGGAGAGAGCATTTTATTTGTGCGTCTCATTAGAAAGTATTAACATCCCAAGTAATGCGACTTGCTCATTGAATTGTTTTCAAATGTGTTCAAAACTGGCAAATGTGCAGAACTTGGAAGCCGTAAAAGATTTGAAAATGGTTTTCATGGGGTGTCCAAATATTTATAATGAACAAGCGTTATTATTAGAACAAGGAGAAGCACAGAGAACACAAGAAAATTACGAAAAAGATATAAAGAAAACAAAAATTAATTGTTTCATTGCATAAGTGGAGTTTAATTTATTTAAATATTATTAATATGAAGTCTGCCTATTGTTATTTTAATATGACAAATTTGTTTAAAAAAACAACTAATAACACTATAAATTTATATATTATAATTATTATAATAATATTATATATTTTATTATATATATAGTAAAACAATATCTTGGTTATTTAATAAACGTAACTTAAGTTAAAAAAATAATAATTATGTTGTCAATATGCCATAAAAGTTTAATAATATTGTCTAAAACAAGTAGCAAAGCAGTTAATGAAAATTTGTCTTTGAAATTTAATTGTATTAGTGTGAATTAATTCACTGTTATATTGTGCGATTTTTATCATTATTATAGAGTTTTTTGTTAATATCTTTTAAAAAGTACTTGAGTTATCATTATTTTCAATTGTCAAGAAATATAGTACAAGTCCCAATCATTATAATAAAACATCGACTTTATCGCTTTCTGTTCATTCTTTATCAATACTTGTATTGTTTTTTTTTCTGATATAAATTATAATTAAAATAATGTTCTATTATAACTGAGTAATTTAATAATTTAATAATTTAATAATTTAATAATTTAATAATTTAATAATTTAATAACAAAAAAAAATAAAAAAAAACTAGCACTAACCGGGAATTGAACCCGGAAAAATGTGGTCTGGAAGAAAAAACCTCGCCGCATTGGCCTTAGTGCTATCTGTAATTATTTTAATTCAATCTATATTGACACTTCTAGTTATTAAATTACTATTATTAATTAAATTCTTATAACTAATAACTAATAACTAATAACTAATAACTAATAACTAATAACTAATAACTAATAACTAATAACTAATAACTAATAACTAATAACTAATAACTAATAACTAATAACTAATAACTAATAACTAATAACTAATAACTAATAACTAATAACTAATAACTAATAACTAATAACTAATAACTAATAACTAATAACTAATAACTAATAACTAATAACTAATAACTAATAACTAATAACTAATAACTAATAACTAATAACTAATAACTAATAACTAATAACTAATAACTTCACCTTACACGTCGCTGTTTGTCCTTCCAATACCCGACATCATGATATTTGCGTTTTTCAGTTTAAGAGTTTCTGTTTTTCTTTTTTCCTTTTGTGGGAGTTTTCCCTTATGGATTGGTTCGTTATAGATATGTTCTGGCAATTCGCTGACGGCCTTTTTCATTTGTTTCATCCATTCCATATGTGCGCAGATATCCTTAATCTTCTTCTTATGTTCCAAAGCCTTCTTCTTCCTGATGTTTTCGACTCTTCTTCTTTCCTCCTCGACTTCCTTTTCGTGTTCCTCTCTTTTCATCTTTTCTTCCAGTTGTTTCAAGAGTTCGACGTTGTCTCTTCTGATCTCCTCGCAGATCTTTTCCGCCAGTCTTTTCTGTGCCAAATAAACAAATTGGTCGCTTTCTGCCTTTGGGCCAACGGTGACGATATCGTCGTAGGTGACAATCATGTACTTATTAAAAGCATTCACATGATATTTCAACTTCTTTGGTCGAACAAATTTAGTAGTTATATTCTCCTTTCCTTTCTCACTCCTTTCCTCATTCTGTTTCTTTCCTTCATTCGTACTGTTCTTGTTGTCGTAAAGTGTTTCATTTCTTTCATTTCGTTCTTCTACGTCTTCCACACCATTCTTTCCTTGTGTAAAAGTCTCTTCCTTTTCTCCCGTTTCTTCTTCTTCTTCAACGCTCTCACTCTTCTCTTCACTACCTTCTTCACTGCCTTCACTGTTCTGTTCGTCGTTGTCATTCATCACCAAACTCGACCGCAAACTTCGCACTTTTTGTGTATAAAACGACTTCGAAAATTCTTCCTCCTCCTCCCGTTTCAATTCCTTCATTGGTTTCCACGCCTCCTCGTCACTCCCATCCCAGTCCAACGCATCTTCAAGTCCATTCCGAATAATCGTGACATTCCTGAACAACGCCTTCGGCTCACCAACCTTTTCCAGATACTCCATCGCCCACTCCACCACTGTCGGATGGGCTTGGACGTACTCCATGACTTCTTTATTCTCGTAGTCCTTCGATTCCTCCGTCATGGAGAGATTATACGCGTACACTATTTGTATGATATTCGTAAACCCATTCGTCCCCACTAAATTGATATTGTCCGTCTCCCGCACTCTTCGTGTTCCACTCCCAAACGGTATTGTCGTGTCGTCGTCCTCCTCTTCTACCAACACCCACAGAACCGCTCCTAATTTCTCGCAGAGATACTTCTTAGTAAAGTCCATGATGTCACACGTCGACTGTGGCGCCATATATGACAACCCATTCGCCTCTGCGTAGTAATGGTCGAAGCTCATGACCATATAGACCATATGACTGACTCGTGGGCGGACGTGGATGATGTAGACGTACATCATCAATATAATGAACTTGACACAGAACGAGTCCGGGTACTCCTTCAGCTTCAACAAGTACAGTCCAATTCGACTCGCCTCGATTCTTCCCGCCTCTTTAGTCTCGTACGCATATCGATTCCTTAAATCATTCACAAATTGGTACTCGTGGATCTCTTTATACTCATCAAACATCCGTTGCAAGTAAAAGTAGTCGTTCCACACTTCTAGCACTTTCTCGTACATGTCCGTCGCAGCAGCACCTTGCATCGAGTACAACACAAACATCCCAAAGAAGCACTCCCCTAACTCCTCCATCACTGTCTTCTCAGTGTTAATAATCACTTCAAGCGCTTGGATCCCTATTTCTACCTCCCGAAAAGATAAAAATGACTCCTCCGCACTTCTCGGATCAAAAGTCAAGAAGGGCATACTCTCATTAATTAACACCTCCGTGTAGTGCTTCTGAATGTGTTCAAATTTCGGCTTCAAGTGCTGATAAATGGACTTCACGTGGTCGTTCATCAGCTCTTCTCGTTTACCGTAGTACACGGTGACCGCCTCGCAGATCGCTAAATACTTCTCAAAATAGAAGTCGATGTCCTTCAAACAGTTCGCCGCACGCATTTGGAGCTTCACAAACTTCTTTCTCTTTCGTTGTTCCTCGACGACTTGATCTTTGATGTAATTTGGCGCACAGATCGTCAAAATGCTTTTACACAGCAACTTCTCTGTAAAGTACTTGTACGATTTGTACAGTTTGTCCTCCGGTGTTTCCCCACACGACGTTTCTAATTGCGACATCAAGACTTGTCCTTTGTTCATCATCACTAGAAACAGTTCCTTGAGTTCAGCCATCGTCTCTAAGACTTCTGGAGTCTGTTCTTCTTCTTCTATTTCATAAAGTGTTTCTTGGTCGTCCTCATCGTAGTCGTTAATGGTCTTTAAGTACTGCGGTAACTCGTTTGTGAACTTCTTGTACATACTATAAGCGACTGGGCAGTCTCTAACGCGTTGTTTGACAACACTGTAATGAGTGTCGTTATCTGCCTTTGTGTAGATATATCGTGCTGGGATGTTCTTTTGGTAAATGTTAATGTTCACTGCAAACTGATTGAGTGTGCTCAGAAACTTTATTAAATAGCGAACGGCTTCTCTGATCTGACTTATTATGTCCGCTTCGGGATGAGGAATATAGGGATTAATGGTGTCCGTACTCATAAAAGAGTTGTTCTTGAGTGTCGATTTGTTGTCTTTAAGTGCGTTCGTACTGCTGGAAACAACGTTTTGAGTAGGAAGCAACGTTCGACGGGCTTTTTGAAATACACTGGTCATCTCTTATTGTGAGATTGGTGTGAAAATATTTTACATCATTATTGGAAAGAGATAAATCAAATTTCGTTAATTTTTAATAATAATGCAAACTTTGAATTATTATTTAACGAGTTGTTTTATTGGTTTTATTCATAAATTAAAATCGATTTTTTATTTTTATTACCTGTTTTTTTAATACAATAATTGTATTAATTATATTATATTTAAATATTAATTATTAGAATAATAATAAAATCAGTTCGTTAATTAAATACAACGTTATTTTTAAAAATAATGTTAATATTTTGAAATTAAAAAGCAAATCTCAGTTTGGATTGTTTTTTTCCTTTTTATGTTTCAAATGATAAAAAACAGTTATTATTTTGAATTATTGGAATCGTTATTTATATCATTAATTCTGTAAGTTCAATGATGGGAAAAAGTCGGATGCGATCAATAATTAACCATTTCCAAATGAAAAAAAAAGTTAAAAATAACATTAAATACAAACTATTACAGGTATGGTAAAAACCCATCAATTTGTCTTAAACCCCTCAAGCTTCAAAGAAATTAATTACGACGTCATCCCGAAGAAGTACGATAAAAAATTGGACAAAAAAATGTTGTATAACAAAAACAAAAACAAAATATAAAAATAAAAACCATAAAAAACTACGTTTGTTTATAACTGTTCAATACATGATCATAACAAGTCGCGTCTCGTGTAAAACCACAAGAAGTGACATCGGAGAACAAGTTTCAACAACGCGTTTGTGGAATTGGCTTACAATCGTCATCCGAAAATGTCGTTTCTAAATATAAAATATTTTTTTTTCTGGTTTCAACCAATCAATTGACGACTTGAGGGGTTTTAGAAAACTATAGGGGTTTCGTACCGATCTGTAAAATATTATTATTAATAGATTTGCTTTCTTCTTTTCCTTATCACTGTTAAACTCAATGTTACCATTTAAGTTTAAAATACACAAATTTTGACAATTTATTCGACATTTGCCTTTTTTCCAAGATTAAATATTTTTATTATTAATTATTTATTTTATAAAAGAAATTGACAAAAACTTGAGATATTATTTTATTTAAAAACTTATTATTTTAATACAAAACTATATATAAAATAATATATTAAAGTCTGTCTAAAAACGTTGTCCGCTTGTAAAACGTTGTCCATTTGACAAAAAATTACACAAAATATGTTGAAAAGTTTAGGAATTAGGTAAAAACGATCAAATCCCGGTATAATTTATGAAACGATGTTTTGGGATTGTTTCGAATTGTTTCCCGAAATGTTCCAGTTTTGATGGTCCAAAAATGCCTGGACAACGTTGGAGAGCGGACAACGTTTTCAGACTGACTATATAATAATAATTATAAATTAAAAATATAAATAAAAATTATTATAAAAAACTACTCAATATGAAATAATTTTGTTGTTATTTTAAAAAAAACAAAGTGTTTAATACACTTTGTAAAATTAATTTTAAACATAACTATATTATTTCAATCAATTTTTGTTATATTCTTTTTTAAAAAATCAATTTTAGAGTGTTCTTGAATAAATTCATCCACATTTTCTATTATCATATTGGACACTTTTGTATAATTAATTTTAATAATTTTTATTTTACCAACTATAACTTCTTCGAACACCCCTCCATATAAAATTACTTTTTTCAAATCTCCCAAAATAACTTTTTCACATGTTCCAGTATTTTGTATAATCAAACAATCGCACTCAATTTTACTAAGATCCAATATTTGTGATTCAACATAAATTGTTACTTCATTGTTTTGGATGGTGACTCCTGCTGCCAAAAAATCACACATTTGTTGCCCATATTTGTACAACACAAAACTGTTAATTTGACCATTTGCAATGAAAGAAAATAGTTCACATATGTCAATATCCACAACGCACTTGTCTTTAATAATTTCACTGTTGTATACAAAATTAAGTGCATTTTGTTTTGTCTGTTTTATCATAAGTTTTTTGATTCTTTTCACGTCAAAATTAAGTGGTTTTCCACAGTAATTGAGCACTTTGATGATGTCGATTTTGCACCCATCAATAAAAACATTTGCATGAATGTTAATCAAAATGAGTGTATTTAAAAATTTGGGTACATAAAACTGACCATTTTTGATATCACATATTTCGAGTTTGTCAATCACTGTTGTGGTTCTCAAATCAAAAATATCATTCATTTTTGAAACTGAAGTTATTTGCATTATAACTAAATCATCAATCATGTTACTCGTCATTTGTTGTTCGACCAAGTTAATATCATTTGACATTGAAATGTCTGCAACAACTTTTGACTTTAATTTGCATCTGTTGTTTTCTTTAAAAAACTGGCGTTTTGTTAAAAACACAGCTTCATTAGTGTTGTTTGACAAAAATTTAGTAAAGACCCGAACATTTCGCAATTTCTTTGTCATAAAACATTTAAAATTTTCATTTGCAGCATCATACATACTTTTATTAATGATATCAGAATTATCTGGTGGCATCAAAATAACAGCAAATTCCACTCTTTCATTTTTTATAAAGTTGAATTTATTGAGTTTAACAACAGAAAAATGTGGTATGTACAAAACAACCCTTTTCATATTTTTTGAAATAGGTACAAAAAAATTTGGAGTTTTTGATGAATATTTAATTGTCAAATAAAAAAGGTTGACTAATTGTTCAAATGGAATTTTTATGCTTTCCAAATGACAAAATTCAATACGCAAAACTCTCAATTTATTCATAAAACACAAATTATTAAGTAAATCGATGTTAACAGTGTTTGTAAAATTTAGGGTTAAATAATCTAACTCAATATTTTTGATTTCTGTCAAAAAACACTCGGTAACATCCAGTGGGACTTTGTTTAAATAAAATGTCTCGATTTTAGGAAAATATTTTATCATTATTTGAAGTGGATATTTCATTGAAAGAGCATATGAATTGATATAAAGTGAACTCGCGCTTTCTTCACATTTCTTATTTACAAATACGAATGAACGGATATCATCGATAGTTTTGAAGTACAAAACAACATTTTTTAAATAGATTGACTGAAGACGTGTCATTCAATATGATTCAATTTTTAAACTCCAAAGTTCGGTTTTATAATGGGATAATGATCAATATATATAAATAGACACGCCGTTTTTCATTTGAAAATTATAAAATATCATTTTAATTATAAAATAATTATAGTCAGTCTGAAAACGTTGTCCGCTCTCCAACGTTGTCCAGGCATTTTTGGACCATCAAAAGTGGAATATTTCGGGAAACAATTCGAAACAATCCCAAAACATCGTTTCATAATTTTTATTGGGATTTGATCGTTTTTACCTAATTCCTAAATTTTTCAACTTATTTTGTGTAATTTTTTGTCAAATGGACAACGTTTTTAGACAGCCTTTAATGAAATAATTAATGTCATATTTTAGCAATTTTTATTAAAACCGTTTTTGAAAAATTTATTTGTATATAATTGTCATTTTGCTGTAATAAGTAACTTGATATGGTTAAAATGATTATCAAATCCCAACAAATATAATTGTGACTAAATCCGAACATTTGGTCTTATAATCAAACGTTTTATTAATGTTAAATAATAATGAAATGAATTATTTATTAATTAAACAAAAACAATTATAAAGTAAAGTTAATTGTTGTATTTTTTGTTAAAATTGAAACGAATATACATTTAAATCGGAATAATTTGATTAATGACAATAAACTATTAGATTAATTAATTATTATGTTATTTATATTTGCTTGCCAATAAAAAGATATAATTACATTTTTATAAGTATTAATACAATTATTCCATCAAAAGGTCGTTTTGTATGAAACAGCCTTTGAAACCAACAATTAAAAATTAAAAATTAACATCCATAATAATTTAAAACTATTTTTAAATTGTACACAGTAAAATACCACTATTATTATAAATCATTTTATTATAAGTGGTTAAAATAAACACCTTCAAAAAAGTCGCAAAAATAACGATATTAAAGTTATTATCACTTAAATATTGGGAAATATTGAAACCAAATGGATAACAATGAGAAAATGTAAAACATATTCCCATTTGTAATATTAATAAAAATAATTTAAAAAATAACTATTAAAACTAAATGTTTATATATATTTTTTTAATTCAAAACTAATAATACATTTTTGCTTGATATTTGATTCGTAAACACTGATAATAATATAATAAATTCATTTTATTAATTTTTTAAACTATTACTATATGAAACATTTTTAATTTTAAACAATAAAAATCTTTTTAATAAATTGTATCTACTATCTCTCTGGGACACGCATAAGTAATTCTTTTACGTTTTTTAAGTTCATCCAACATTTCCCCAATTGTGTTTTTCTTGACAACAACAGTTTTCAAATTAAAATAATAAAGCACATCATTTTTCTTATCTTCTCTTTTCGCACCCAATCTTATATGTATTGTATTTCCATTTTCTTTTAATGAGATGGTGAATGGGTAGTCATATAAACGATTACTTTCTCGTACAAGAAAAACGCCATCTTCTTGGTCTTTCAATTGTTTTAACGTGTCGTTCATGGTGATTTTACCAAACCACCAATCGGCTTCGAAAACCTCCTCCATCTTTTCAAATGCTTTTTTGTCTTCATAAAAATTCCCAAATTGAAGAATTAAAAATTGAAACCTTTTCAAATCCACTTCTCCCGATTTACCCAAATTGTCTATTAAAACATTGGTATTGCATTTTTTCGGTTTTACCAACTTTAAAATAACTTCAACAAATTGCTCAGTATATACAGAAAAGACGTATCGGCCGTTTTTCAAAAAGTTTTTATTCCAGAATTCCACTGCGGAGTCGTCTAATTTAGCACTCTTCATTTTCAACAAACGAATGGTGTCAACAAGTTTATTGATATCGGGCCTCTTTTTAACATCAGAGTCCCAAGCCGTATTGAATATATTATCTGCATCACTTGGGATCTGGTCAATGAGGTCTTCAAAATGTATTTTCATCATGTCCACTATATCACTTGGGCAATTTTTAGTGTTCAAAACACGATGAGGAAGTATTGGGCGAATTCCATTCTTAAGTTCCCGTAACAGGATGTCAATATTATCAATTTCATTGTGTTCAAAAAATGGTTCTTTCTCATAGAAGAGTTCATATCCAGTCATTGCAAGACTGTATATGTCGGACTCCTTTCCAATCGCCTTTTTAGATTCTAAGACCTCTGGAGCCGCATATAAAGGAGTGCATTTCATGTCGCCCTTTTTCTTTGTAACTTTTACAGCAAAGCCAAAGTCACAGACTTTAACTTGTTCCTTCTCATCAATCAAAAAGTTTGATGGCTTGATATCTCTGTGGATGATATTAAGTTTGTTGTGAAGCCATTGTATTCCCAAACAACATTGGTAAAACAAATCGACTTTACTATAACAGTCAAGTGGTAGTTTGGAGTAACCATTTGGCAGTTTGTCACGTTCATGGATGAAACGGTTTAAATTACATGACACAAATTCTGTCACAAAGAGTGGTTTGGTATCCGAAGGTACAACTCCAATAAATAAAACAACATTTGGAGAATGTGATTCTTTCATTATTTCCATTTCTTTAAGATAAGACGTAACTTCCTCACAATTCATATCATTGTGTGGAATTTTGATTGCAACTCTCAGGCCTTTTAGTGTAGCTTTGTAGACAGCACCAAATGATCCATTTCCAACTAAATCAGTATCTATATTGTAATTAATATCATCCAATGACAAATTAAAGAGGTTGCCAGTGATTGACATTGTTTTTTATAAACTAGTTGTAAACAACTATTTTAAAGCAAAATTTTTATTAAAAATAACAAATTTATTATTTTCTTGTTTAATGTATTATTCAATCAGTGTGATATGTGTTAACATTAATAATATGATTTATTATATTTTTTGTTATAATTTTTAGTAAATAATACCAATTTGCTCAATTATTTAGTTGTTTAAACAAAACTGTTTACACTCTTTTTATTATTCTGTGTGCAATAGATTGTTCAACCATTCAGATTGTTTGAAAACGCCAAACACCTTTTGAATATATAAATACATTCATATATAAAATTATATTATTAAATTATTCGTTTATAATCAATAATTGTTGGGTATATAAAAATAATAATTTAAAATTTAAAAATATTTTTGTTGATTTTTTACGTTATTTATAATTTCTTTTATTCAGCTCAAAACTTGAAATATTAATTTTGGAATTAACATTTTATGGTTTTTATTACTATTAGTATAATATAGTTTTACCATATTATTTAGAAGTTAATTTTTGGTTAACCGTTTTTTTACAAACAATAACAATATTTTAAAGTTGTTATAGTAAATCACTTGAAGTAAAAACACATTTAACTATTAAAACGAATTAAACGAGTTATAAATTAACATCAGAATATTAATGACAAAATTTAAGGTGTGTATGTTTAATCAAATGAATTTGCTTTAAAATGGGAATAACTTATGTAAAGCATGGTTAAGATTTTTTATTTTAAACCCGATTTATGGTTATTTGTCTCTTTGATTTCTTTTAAACAATCGGGAAATGAATAAAAAATCCCGACCATGTGTAAAGTAGTAATGGCTATAATTTATAATGAATATTAGCAACAAATAAAACATTCAAAAATTTTAACTTAAAATTTAAACCGTTATTTGATGCTTGTTTTTAAAAATATTTAAATTATTATAAAAATAATATTAAAAAACATTTAAAACAACTTTTATAAATTATAAGAACATCAATGTTATATATATTATTACTTAACACGAATTTCTAAAATGTACCATAAAACTATCTTAAATAAAAAAAACTATCAAAGTTGCAACCAGAGCAATGAGAGCCACATTTGTTCCGTTTGTATATATGACGTATATATCAAGTACCAATGTGCATTTATCAATTTCTTTTGAAATGGTTTTTGACGGTTCCCCACTACAATCAGGAACTTTGTTGTATGACATTACTACAAAACTGTCAGAAGTAGTTTCTCTTTTAACAGAAGACGTTTCAGTCAGTCTCACACAACCTACTACAAACAGCTTTTCCATTGGAAAAGAGTCTGCTAGTTGTAATTTACAATCGCTTTTTTCAGAATATTCAAATGCCATTGCAGAATATGAAGGAAGTATTGAGTGAATTGTCAAATGTGTTTTAAATTCCGGGTTTGGTATTTCTACCCATTTTTTACAATCTTCTGATTCATACGCTTTTATGGTTGACCCCTCAACTTCAAATTTTCCATAATTATCATCTCCGGTGTAATAACATCGACCTGTCTTGTACACGTAATTATATTCCTTTTCTGGATCAATGACATAGATAGAAAGTGAATTAGTGAACATAAAGAAAACAATTAACATTATAATTATTTTCATGATTTGCAAGTTCGTAATATATAAATAATTTGACCTCTTGTTAAATACAACATTTAAACATTTATTATTCTTTTTATCAAATAACTTTTAAACTCATTATTTACAATTGAACAATGAAGAGAGTTCAACACGATCCAAGTAACTTGATGTATAAAGTTGTATTGTTATTTTCTATTGTTTAAAACAAATTAAAACAAGTTATTTTTGTTTTATAATTACAATGAAAATTATTATTGGATGAATTACAATAATTAGTTATAATAATTATAAATAATTCATAAATTAATTTGGGCAACAGTAAAAGTAAATTTTCATTTTTATGATTTTTTTTATAAAAAATAGTGAAATATGTCAATTTATTTTTATATCAATAGAAATAAGCAAAAAAATGAAAAATCTGTCTTAATATTGAAACGCGTGAACAGTATTTGATTAAAAGTAAATAAACTTTTTATTTGTCTCAAAAGTTGATAAAAAACAAATAATAATTAAAAACAACAATTTTGATATTTTGTATTTATTAAAAAGACAAATTAGTACGATTGAAAAATAAAATACAAAAGAAATTTTTGTTATATAACTGAATAAATAAAAATTTAACAACAATTTTTTTATTTGGTATAAACAACACATTATTGTTTTTTCATTTCCAATAAATTGTTAAAATCGAAAAAAACAACAAATGCAACAAACTAAAGTATTTGCAACTGGCTCTTAAAACATTAAGACACTGTTTAATAACGATAAAATACTGTGTTGTAATAAACATGATAGACACAAAAACGAATGAATTAACAATTATTTTTTAATAAAATGATATGAGACATTTTTAATATATTTTAATTTAAGACTACTTTGACCTTTTATTTATTCGAGTCAATACAATTGTTAAAACAAGAAGTTTTCATTTGAATTGATTGGTTTGTA